GTAATGAACCGATTGATATTTCATAAATCAAACATCGTGCATAGTATTATGTGCCAGTGTGATGTAATCTCTTATTTGTGAAACAGTAGATACTACTAGTATACTTAAACATCTTTTGACTCTATCGCTTGTCAGGTGTGAAGTATTACTCGAAAGTGTACGCCGTTGACGCTGCCGGTTTGCAGTCAGCCGTCGCTAAGTCTGACGGTATGACCATCGACACCACAGCTCCAGTCCTGATGGAAAAATTGGAGGTCGGACAGAACATTGTACAAGACTTCTCATTCGAGGAGTCGTCAAGCCAACTCCGTGTGGAGTCGGAGACGCGCTGGACTTCAGTTCACTCCCGTCCTTTACGTCCTCACACTGGACGGTTGAGGAAGGCTCAACCGCTGCGGTTTTGAACGCGTCTGCAGGGGATCACGGGATCAATTTCCTGTACCTAGCTGGTTCCATCTCACAGCTGCTTAGCACAACCACAGGCAGCAAGTACCGAATGACGTTATCATTAAAGCACAACCCCTATGTAAAGAACAAACGCTCAGACGAAGAAGTCCTGATAGAAGCTCCTGGGGTCAGCAAGATCGTTCAACTGTACCACCGACCTGGCCGACATGATGCACAGAGTGAGAACCGGTGGCAAAAAGCCACGATGTTCTTCACGGCAACGAGCGGGTCGTCCGCCATCTCTATAGCAACGCCGGGAAGAACGAGGGGGGTCCTCATTGACAACGTGGACGTTCGCCTGTGCAATGTGATGGAGGTTGGGGAGGGAATGAGCAGCAACAACAGCGTCCATGTCGAACTGGAGATCATCCATGGCTTCAATTCAGTGTTTGCAAGCTGGGGATTTGTGGACATGGAGAGTCCCATTGTTGACTACCTGTGGGCTATAGGTATGTCGCTATTACTGTATCAGATATACATAGGTATCCTAAGGCACAATGTATGATTTGTGATGCAATACATGTAGTGTATCATTATTTACAGATCTAGGTGTGACTTATATGAAACTGTTGCATTTAGGTAGAAATGAAACATATATCCATTCTCCTCAACAGGCACAGTGCAAGGTGGAACCCAACTGCAGACCTTCCGCTCTGCTGGCACCAGTGACCAAGGAGTCAACAGTAACTTGACCCTAACCCAAGGATCATACGTCCATGTAACTGTCGTGGCCGTCAACGCAGCTGGACTACGCAGCGTGGTGCATTCAGAACCGGCTTTGGTGGACAAAACACCCCCGGTCATATCTTTTGTCAAGGACGGCTCTACTGGCATGGGTAAGTTCAACAATGTCACAGCTGTGAATATCAAAGATGAAATATCATGTACTTTTCTTGGCTTGAGTGATTGAATAAATCTTTGGATAAGGCTTTGACTTGACTTTTATTTTCTGCTATTCCAGATGTCGCCTACCAAAGTGACAACGTCATTTCCGCACGCTGGGACGCTACAGATCCAGAAAGCGGAATCAGCAGGATCGAGTGGGCAATAGGTAAATGATACCTAGTAGTATGTTTGCATAGGACATAAAATCATGGTCAACAGTGTTCGTTCACACTCTGTATTTGAACTAAATATAAAACTCTCTCTATTCTACCATTGAGAACAATTTCAATGCTTTATGTTTAAGTCTAGATGATCGTTGTTGAAATATTCAAATCCACAGGTCCTTCGATAGACGTAGACATTACACACCCGACAGACCAAATAAGTTCTTGATCTCCCACTACAGGCTTGGAGCCCGGTTCGGCTTCCATCAGTGATTACACAGTGGTTGAAGCCTCCGGCAGTGCTTCAAAGTCGGTGAGCAGTCTCGTCCATGGACAGACAGTCTTCGTCACCGTGAGATGCCACAACAACGTGGGTCTGCACTCCACCATGTCGTCCGACGGCGTCACCATCGTGACGGACCCACCCAGCACGGCGGCAGCTCAGCTGAGTGTGGTGACCCGCTCGGAGACACAGTATCCCACACGAGGCAATCACCAGTCCCAAACCGACACCCTGCTGCTGTCATGGGGCGGATTCATGGACACAACCGGCATTCTGGCTTACCAGGTATGTGTGGAAATTCTAGTACAGGATAGGTTCTAGACGACCAACAAACCTTTCATAACAGACGTTTGCTTATCTCCCCGGTGAATTCATTCATTGACAAGGCCATTTGAATGCCACAAATGTAAGTTTTTCAAACGTCTTATAAGATAACAAAACAGGCGATAGTTTCGTAGTGCAGGGGAATACGTACATTTCGAACTACACCCTTGCAAAAATCATTCGTTGGTACAGCAAAATCATAAATGGAAAGTACAGCAGATACGACAACCCCCCTCTTAGAGATCAAAGTAACGATATGTCTTGACCCACGCAGTATGCCCTAGAGGGACCGGGTGTGGATAACTCAGCCTGGTACAGCCTGAGCCCCTATGGAGACACCAGTACTCTCCTTGGCCTTGACCTTCAGCCAGACTCCAGCTACAAGGTGTTTCTCCGCGCCGTCAACAATGTCCAGATGGAGAGTGCCTCACTCCAGGCTGATGTCCAGATCACCAGCACCATCCCGTCTTTGTCAGGTATTATTTTACAATTGTAATCATGTATTTGTGGTTCACTTTATGTTCAGCTACATTAGAAACCATCCTACATTAGAAACCATCATGCTTTTGTAACTCTGGCATTGGTGATGCAAGCAAAGTATAGCCAAGCTCGTTTAAAGTTTTGTGGATGCGATGGCCTTACATACATCATGTATAAGCTATAAGAAAAACCGTGAAGTTCAATGTTTTACTAAAAACCGTTTCGGTATGGTAAATTTCATTTTCGAAAGTATCCATGATATTGCCAAAAAACAGTTACTCAAGCAACTGGATATGATTTTGAAAACGTCAGACGTTTCAGCTAGTATCCACTAGCTTTCGTCAGTGACTGAGAGACCAGAGGGGAAAGCAGGTTTATATACACAACCTGTTGATTGATATGCAAATTATAAAGTGAAGACAAATTTTTGGAAGTCGAAAAAGGAACAAAAGTCAGACAAGTCAAGACAAGATGATGCAAATTAGTCTGAAAGCTCCTGTTATACAGGACAGGAGCTTAAGTGTTGTCTGTCCTCGGGGCTGGGAGTGCCAAATCCCAAGTGCCGGAAAGATCGACTCGTAGCCCCCCTTCCCTGTTGAGGGTGGGGTTGTACATTCTTTCATATATTGCCTCTTTAACACCCCGTTCCCACCAGCGTGTTTCGCGGTCTAAGACATCCGTGGACTCGAGTTTGAAAGAGTGACCCTGGTTGTGTATCAACAATCAACAGGTTGTGTATATAAACCTGCTTTCCCCTCTGGTCTCTCAGTCACTGACGAAAGCTAGTGGATACTAGCTGAAACGTCTGACGTTTTCAAAATCATATCCAGTTGCTTGAGTAACTGTTTTTTGGCATATCGTATTACCTGGATGTCTAACCTTCATCGACGTATCCATGATATTACATGTCATTCATATTAACTTGGTTGTCAGGGGAGGCAAATGTGACCCACGCCTGGGACAGTTCAAACACCACGGTGATGATAGACTGGGAAGGAGTCTTCGATGCCGAGACTGACCTCGTGTACGAGATCACCATCGGGACAACCCTGGGCGGAAATGACGTGCAACAGTGGGTGGAGACCGTGGAAACCAGCATCACAGTAAGCCAGCTGGATGCCACCAAGCACTACTTCGGGACCATAACTGCTATAAACCAAGTCGGGATGTATGAAAACGTACTCTTCGATTTCTATCGTTAGACACCATTGGCGTAGCCAACCATATCCAAAAAGCGTTAGCCACCGTTGGCTTAGCCAACCATAAAACCGCATACAAAAGACGAGAATTTTGGCTACACTCGTGAGCTTGCTCGTAATCATAGACAACCATACAGACATAGACACACTTGGCATAGACAACCATATAACCATAGACACCGAACCCGCATAGACAACCATATAAACATCTACAAAACTATGTTAATCACTTTAAAGTTACTGTATTTTGTTCTATACGTTAGGAGGTAATTCTATTGACGGTAATGGATGTTTTTATTGTTTACTCATACAAAAAAATAATGCTAAGCTTAGGAGTGTCCAGCATTTAGCACTACAGTTTGACAGGCTTTATGCACGAAAAGCCTTCGCAGTAAAATCAAAAATAATAGATCACAATTTGTTAAGTCTATTGCTTCAAAATTATAAAAAATCTTAAAGGAAATATTGGTGTATCTGGTACGTTTTATCATAATCTTATTTAGTATATTACTAAATTGTCATTCTGTAGAAAAAAACTAGTTATTCATACAAATGTTGTATCTGGATGATACAGTTCTAAGTTGCACAACCAAGGAGAACTACATGTAACAAAGAACTGTACTAGCCATTACCAACCTGATGAAACTATTCAATATACTGTTAAAAAGAGTCACATGCAACAGCCTACTTAGGGAACAAGGAGGTAGAATCTATAGACCGTTTCGAACAGTACAATAGTGTATGCAGATATTTGTTTGACTGGTGACAAATACATTGTGGTATCAACAAACACAGGAACCTTTGGAAGTTTGCAATAAAGTGGGATAAAAAAAGATCTGTGTGAGCAACGGTTTCTCATTCATAGTAATGACTGTAGATGAAATAGCAACACAAGATACAATTAGCTCACATCTATGTCTTCTGACAGAGCAGTTATCAGGGTTACAGCTTTTCCAAGCATAAGAAAATGTGGGACAGTCAGGGAAATATGTTTTGGTAAGAAAAGGTTTCCAAAAGTTCAGCATCCTTTCATACTAATCTATCTGAACAAATGTTCATCGGAAGCATCTAGCGACCTTCAGGTCGAGAATAAGCCAGTAAAAAATTCGGCCTACACACCCTTTGGTAAGTTTTTTTAAGAAGCATAGGCTTTCTCAGTAAAGAAATTACCTGAGGCAAGGACAGATGCCTTAAGATACAATGGCCCCACGACCCTGATCTGATTCAAGGGACCAATGTGCAAGAATAGGCTGAAGACATATGGGAAAGGGACTGAGTAATGGTAAAGTTATAGCCTGTCAATAGTTCTCCAACTGGAGACCACAAGAAAGACCCCCAAAACAACAAACCATTCCGTTGTCAGTAACAATTGAAAGATCAGATAAAAGATGACATATCGCTCACAACAAAAGACGCTGATACTGTAGTTAAGATCCGCGTTGCTTTCCAAGTCGTAATATGAGAAGCAATGAGCCTGCATCGTACCTAAGCACTTAGGTAGGGGGATAGCTATAGACATAACTTTATTGGTCAGAGAAAAGTCTGGTAGCCGCTTGTTGGAATGCATATTGCTGTATGGAAAATTTGGTAGTAGATACTCGCTATATGTATGTAACCAAAATGTTTTGACAAGGCTTAGACACAAAGGCCAAAGGAAAAGGTTGGAGTTATCCTTTCAAAATAAAGGGAGGCTTGTTGCTTGAAGATGCCCAGGCTTTCTCTGTAAAGACAACGCCTGAGGAAAAGCCCCAGGGCCGATGACTCAATCTATCTCCTTTATCTTTTATAATAGAGGACATTTCTTTACGCATCTGATCATGAGGGTCAAGCTAGTAAGTCTCTCATAGTCATTCTCCTTTTAAAGAAGAAGTCTGTTGGTAGCTCTTCACGGGGCGTAGGCTTTCTTAGTAATGGAGCCACCAAGGACAACAGTTAATCATGCTACTAAAATACATATTTCTGCAGGGATGACCTGTTTATAACAAAGGCCTAATGACAATCCTTTGTGTCGGTATGACGCACGTTGGCCAGGCCAATTATAAGATTATGTACCCTCCATTTATCGAGCCCTTGAAATGGGGCAACAAGGATTTTGTAGGTCAGATTCTTGAGGTTATTGACATGAAGGCAGCACAATCTGAAAAACGCTTACGCATGAGATTTGAGTTTTAATGCTAAAAAAAAACAGAGAACGTTTTGTTAAATGAAAACGTACATCATTTCCCCTTATTAAGTAATTACACAAGGATCTCCATTGATCAACTCATAATACATACTTGTTCCTACTTACTTACTTATAATGATGTACAACCTACGGATCCGACTGATGTTCGGATATAGATGGTCTATTAACGACAAACGAGGTAATAGACTGGTGTGTGTGTGTGTGTGTGTGTGTGTGTGTGTGTGTGTGTGTGTGTGTGTGTGTTTTGTTGTTTGTTTGTTTGTTTGTTTGTTTAATTTATGTGTCTGTGTGTATTAGAGCTAGTCTGTGTGTATTAGTGCTACTTCGGCCAGCATAACTCAAGAAGCTATGGATTGATTGTGATGATATCAGGTGTCCTGAGAACATATGCGCCTCCGTGCAGCCTTCCTTTGTACTGCAGCTTTGTACGGTGTTTTTTATATTTGAAATTTGCATACAAAACTCAGATAGTCAGAAAGAATACACAGAAAGATACAGGTTGTCTTCTTGTTGGTCAAGCATGGCCACTTAGCATGCTAGCAGGGATACAATAGAGAACGACAATAATAATATTGGTTTCGTGAGGTCCCAATATAGAAGCAAGAGGAGGTTGTTGTCTCAAGAAGCCTAGGCTTTCTCAGTAAAAGTATCGCCTGGGGCGAAGACATTTTCTGCAAAGCAGGACAAGATAACAAAGGTCAGTCCATTGTGCAGAGATGGCACCCGCGAACTATGTTAAACAGGTGTCATCCCAGATACAATACGAGGTAATTTGTCACGAAATCACGGGCCGTTTGACGTACCCTTCAAAGGTTACGACATGGTTTTTGTCTGTCAGTTAATAGACCATTCTTAATTGCAGAGAGAGTAAAATACAGTGCAAGCGTACCAACATACTTACATGTGCAGGAAAATAGATGGATACGAAAGTAGCGCGAATGATACATGTACATCACTGGTGAAAATACGTAAGGCCACGCCGATTTAATTTTATGGATGACATCCGCGCGCGCATTGATTTTCGCTCGATCTCAAAAAAAAAGATCACGTATTCCGAGGCTCTGGCCTGGCTTTAAGCCTGGGTAGTCCATGGTGTTGATAACTCTGGTTGACGGCAGCCAGGCTACCGAAACTCCAAGACTCAAGAACTCAGTACATACGTACAGCAGTGTCGATTCATATATTCCTCAAAAATCCAGCATATGTCGGCCTGTCGTATACGTCGCTATGTAATGCGCCAAATTCACAATACCAGGTTTGTATTCCTGTGGTTTTGTAGCATTTTTATTTTTGGCCGGATTTTTATTTTTTTTCGCCCGCGCGCACTAGTTTGGGGTCTTCAGAGGATGTCATCCATAAAATTAAGTCGATGTGGCCTAATGTTGGCTCACAGTGTCCACGCAATTAATGATACCAGAAGGAAGTGTCTTTGGAAAATTCTGATAAAGCAGCAAAGGAGCAACTCCTCCACACCCTTCTCTGTATGCCCTTTGTACTTCAGAAAGAGATCATAATTTACAGTGTGAAAATAGGTAACTACATTATAGAATTAACCATTGTCTATGGACGCAGACGACTGCCAACAACACGCGGGAATGTTAATTGTGATCATAGATCCATATACATGTACGCTTTATCTGTATTTACATTTGTGTGTTTTGTCTATGGTGGTATAGAAGACCCAACGAAAATCTCTTTCGATCTTTCTTGTGACCTATCAATGAGGTATTCACTAAATACATTGCCACTATGGGTCAGACAGGCGTTCAAGTTGGAAAATTTAACATTAGAAGTTTTACACATCCATCAAGTAATCACAAATCCATTTTTATGATAAATAACATAACATTAAACAAAATGAAAAAGAGGGTGTGGATCTATACAGATAAATATTTCGTAGAATGATTGATGAGACAAAACATGATTCGTAGAGACACAATTTTATTCCACCATATTTATACATAATCACCATATTTATACATAATGAACAACCTTTTCAGGGCCTCAAACAAAATAACAACTAGAAGAAATACAGGTTTGGTGGGTTACACAATGATTCTGTAACCTCTAACCTTTGACATTTTTAATTGCTACCCAATCATCAAACAAAGGTGTGTGTTTATATAAGTTGTCTACTTCAGTGATTTCCTGAACATCACATTATTGCTATAAAAAATAAAAAAATATGCAATAGAGACTGTCGAAAAACTACTTGACATCAAAAAGAGAATGCCATATACATATTGATCGTATGTACTTACATAATGCAATTAATTTTTCCAAGGGAACAATGTAATAATGACACCATAATTGTTTAAAGTAAGCTAAATGATATGAAAAACTGAATCCTAAAAAGACCAAAATGATCAATGTACAAAACTACAAACGCCACTTCTTGTGGCATTGAGGGCATTTAAACTTGCGGATGTGTTTCCAAGTATGTCGAAAAGGATGTACTGGTCACTTGATGTGAACAGGAACGTGCTCTCCTCTTTTTCGTCTGGATCTTCTTTTTAGCCTAGGAAGAAATCAATCAATCAATCAGTCCAACTTTATTACACAACAACTGTAACAGGTACAATGCATGGCAAGTTCTTGAGAAATACTAAATATCCAAGTATAAAATCTACACTATTGCCTACAACAATGCTAAGGACTTCTATATAACTTAGAACTAAACACTATATAATGCTATTTCATGAAAGACAAAACTACAGTTTTAGAATCAACCCTATGAAATTTTGGAAAGAGAAAACTGCAGTTTTATGGGACTCAACATTATACTATAGGACCCAACATTATGCTATTTTGATAAAGACAAAGCTACGTACACGGCAGTTTCTTATGTACAAAGTATCGAAGAGAGACAAAAGGGAGGTTCAGTGTTGGTTTACTCACCTGCTATACAACACTTCCTCGCGGCAGGTCCCCCACACAGACCCTCCTGGTACTGACCATGGCAGTAGTTACTGTCCATCTTACACTGTCCTCCGGCTTTGGAACAGTCGGTGTCCCCGGAGGTATATCCCTGATGAGTGGACTGGCCTGGTGGTAAAAGATACGAGGTCATCTTTACTAAGTACGTCAGATCTAGACTGTTTGGTATGAACCATTCTTTATTCATGAAAGCTGAAATCCGCATGCATTTTCTCATCGAGGTCATGAGGGAAGAGGTAAAGGTCAGACAAAATACATCATCACGATAAAGTTTACATCATGTAAAGTTAAGCAGCCCCATTCACTTGGTTATAAACACACACAGACTTAGAGGGCGGTTGATTCATTCTTTTATCTCATAAACTATCAACGCAACTAAGGCCATGTTGATTTGATTATATGGATGACATCCGCGCGCGCATGAATTTTCGGCCGTTTCCAACAAAAAAAAGTTTTCAACCATACTGTAAATCGTACAAACAGTTGCAAAATGAGCAAAAATATACCGTAAGTTACAAAAAAATAAGTAAAAACTATACCAATGTCGTAGAATGCCAAAATCAAACGAAAAAAGACGAAATTGTAAGGAAATGAACTTGAAGATTAGATTATTCGCCAAACCATATTCTGTCCCATTTGTTCAACCCTCATGACCACGTAGATTTCATAATGAAAACAACTTTTTGTTTTTTTGCAAAACTTTTTTTTATTCGCACGCGCGCATCAGTTTTGGGGCTCCCGGAGGATGTCATCCATATAATCAAATCAACATGGCCTAATACAAAAAAAAAGGAAATTCCCTGTGTGCAGATCGTAAGAAGAATATGTATCTATCAACGTGCATCTTACTACTTGCAGGATGGTGATTTGTTGCTGACAGAATGACAGAAATTTTATGTCACTAAGTTTAAAAATATGTTTGTATGATAACTGTTTGTACAACTACCTTACTGACAGATTTTGTACATTATTACCATGATACTAGCAGCATTCTTGGATCAAAACGAAAAGTACAAGTGGAGGATACAGGACTTACACGAAGCGTCACACGGGAGGCAGCATTTCCTGAGCGCGTTTCCGCCGCACTTTCCGTCCTCGTACCCCGCCAGACACGTTCTTGCGGTGTAGTCCTGGCACTTCCCTGTGCACTGGGAGTCTGCAGAAGACGACTGGTCCACAACTGCAACAGTCAAGTCAAGTCAAAGTTTCGTCGATGAAGGTTAGACATCCAGGTAATACGATTCGCCAGAAAGCAGTTACTCAAGCAACTGGATATGATTTTGGAAACGGCCAGATGTTTCAGCTAGTATCCACTAGCTTTCGTCAGTGACTGAGAGACCAGAGGAGAAATATCAATAGTTTGTGCTTATAAACCTGCATTTCTCCTCTGGTCTCTCAATCACTGACGAACGCTAGTGGATACTAGCTGAAACGTCTTATCGTTTCCAAAATCATATCCAGTTGCTTGAGTAATTGATTTTTGGCAAGTCAAAGTTTATTGCGCAACAATTGCACCGAGTATAATGTACAGCAAATGACACTTAATACCTAGAAATTAATTTCTACTAGCCTTATCATTAAATACATGCACATGTTATGATGGAATACTTAGAAGTTCACAAAGAATGTTGATGTGGTATTGTGACATCTCACCTACTCCTGGCTGCTTGAGGAAGGCTTGTTGGAAGCCGCTGTACCTGAGTGTGTAGCGACTTCCATCCTGGTACTTGTGACAGCGGCACAGGACGGTGGACATCTCTTCGTGGAAGCGCCAATCATGGACCACATCGAGGATGTACCAGAGAGCAAACACGTTCTGAATTAAAGTGCCGTTTTAGTTTTAAAAAAGATTCAACCAAACAACGTAGTGTGTGTGTGTGTGTGTGTGTGTGTGTGTGTGTGTGTGTGTGTGTGTGTGTGTGTGTGTGTGTGTGTGTGTGTGTGTACGTACGTTACGT